GTGGAAAAATTGGCACAAATGGTGGTAAATGTGTAGGGATGAACGTTTTTGGAGAGCAAGAAATTAGAGTTCTTAGCTTTTAGTGGCCTCTTGCCTATTGGAGGCAGTTGATCTGGTTGAAGGGGGGTGAAAGTTAATGGCCTCCTAAGCACATACCCATGTTGTATTACGTAATTGTAGACAGTTTGTCAACCTGCTAAATATGAAGTAATTCAGTGTGTCTTAGAACAGATGTCAGTGGTAAGAAGCCATAGCCATGCCACTGGAAAGTCCTAAAGGAAATTGGAGACTTTCTTTTCCATACCATCCTTGAAAATAGTTAAGTTAAATAACCACCTTGCTTTTCTGTTCATCCTCTTTCTGTCCAGAGAGCAAAACTCTCTTTGTATGTACTATTCCCATGACCAGAATTTGCAAAATGGTTTCCCCCCAATCAAAGAGCTGGAAGGGAGGGTGGAGGGAGAATGAATATGTACATATGTAACTCAATTCTCTTCAGCCAGAGACCACCAAGAACATACCTTTAGTTGAACAAGTTGGCTTTATTACTCATTGTAGTAAGAACACACATTATAGGATACCATGGGGCATCCCAGTATGAGGGTATTAGAACCTATTATAGGATTTGGGCTTTGGGTAATTTGGGGGAGGATCTAAGGAAGCAGGGACTTTCTGTATGGGTGCTGTCAGAAGGCAGGGCAATTCTATGACAGGATATCTCTATAAGTCTTACAGAAATGGCAGACTAGATGGGGGGAAAAGCTATCATTGGTAAAGAAGTGGCAGTCACTCATTTACTGCAAGAGGGGGATGTTTGGTATTGTGGGTTGCATAGTTACCTTGTTTTTGTGTCACTTTATCATAACAAAGTCTCAGAGTGACTTCATTTGGTATAGATAGTCTGCAATTATGCCCCGCAAGAGAATAAACTGGCCTAACTCTGCCACATCAGCTTGTAATAATATTGAGGTCTGGCTATGAAAGTCAGATCAGTTCTGGACCTCAGGGACTGGTTTATTTTTCATATATTTATACATGAAAAAATACATACATATGATACACACTTATGTCCTAGTTTAACTCTAATTTTTTAATGAGAGTTTAGCCTTTCCTAGTTTTAGCAAGTACGGTTTTACCAAGTATTGGCAAAAGTTAAAAAAAAAAAAAACCTCTCATAATCTAGTACTCTATCAGTATATTAAGACTCATTACTTTAGGATGTACTTTAGCCATGTCAGTAGCGTGAAATGTACTACCATTTGGAAAACACGTTATGTTTCTGGGGAATGAGCAGAAAACAGAAGATTCTTGCATTGATCCAGGTGGGACGTGCGTGTTGGTAAGAGCAGAGAGGAGGGAAATTTTTAGAAATATTTAGTAGAGTGGGCAGCAATATTTTTGAAGGGGAGGGGGACGTTCTCCTCCTATGGCTGCTGTGGGGGCCCTCCTCCCCATTTACCTGCCCTTGACACTTTCACTTTGGAAGACAGGAAATTAAAACAGAAAGGTCCTCTGAGAGATCATCTGGTTCCATTTCCTCCTTACACAGACAGGGACTGAGGCATGGAGAGGAGATGTGAACTTCTCATAGTCATGCCCTGAGTCCACCTCAGTTCCTCTGGGGTGTAGGAGGAGGGAGGAAGAAAATGGTTTATAGCTTTGAATCAAAACTCCTTCTCTCCCTTCAACTGCTCTGTGATTTTAGCCCAAATAATTTTTTTCTTTTTCTTTCTTTTTCTTTCTTTTTTTTTTTTTTTTTTTTTTTTTTTTTTTTTTTTTTTTTTCTTTTTTTTTTTTTTTTTTTTTCTTTTTTTTTTTTTTTTTTTTTCTTTTTTTTTTTTTTTTTTTTTCTTTTTTTTTTTTTTTTTTTTTCTTTTTTTTTTTTTTTTTTTTTCTTTTTTTTTTTTTTTTTTTTTCTTTTTTTTTTTTTTTTTTTTTTTTTTTTTTTTTTTTTTTTTTTTCCTTTTTGTCTTTTTTATTGACCGGTACGGGATCGCAACCCTCGGTGTTGTGCCCATGCCGCGCTCAGCCAGTGAGCGGGAACCCGTCACCACATGGGATCCGAACCCTCAGCGGGAGCACCGCCACGCTCTCAAGTGGCGCACTCTCCAGTGCGCCACCGGGCCGGCCCTCTTTTTTTATTTTAACATTTACTTGTACATATTTATGGGGTAGTGTGTTGTCTCAATACACGCATATGCTGCATAATGATTCACTTAGTGGTAGATAGCATAGTTTTGTACCTGTTAGTTCACCATTTCTCCTCCCCCTTGCCCATCCTCCCCTCCTGACCCTCTGGTAACCATTATTGTACTCTTTACTTCCATGAGAACCACCTTCCCCCCCCCCCCTTTAAGATTAGAGTGGACAGAACTTGATGTCAGGATGTAGTAGGTAGGGAAGCCAGAAGAGTGAAGGATGACACCTAGGTTTCTGGCTTCGTAAAGTAGGAAGTGATGCTTTCCTTACCAGGATGGAAGAAAGGGGAGAGCCACAAGTTTGCAGGGGAGTAACAGATCTTAAACAGGAATCCCTACAGTAGCATGAATCTGGGTGGAGGGAGGCTGATCAATCAGTCTTGTAGGTGCCTAGTATCTAACAGAGAATGATAATTTATCAATTGGTTAACATCAAAAGCAGTAACTGCCCAGGGAACCAACATCTTCTTTTGTCAGCATATTCTCTCCTTGCAGGCAAATCTGTGTAAATGACAAAATTATGATCAGAAGACTGATCTGGGTGGGGACATAACAAGGGAAGCTAGCTTGTGTATTTTGGTAGCTATTGTCATCTAATTATGATGTCAGTACTTTAGGGGTTTATGTGCCCAGAATACAGAAACACAGGTCTGACCCCCAAACATGTCCTGGACCTGTGTGCTGAAATGTTGGGTGCCAGGGATACCAAAGTGGGTTTCATATCATGTCATCACCTAGCATGAGAGCTGGTGTGTAATAGGTCCTCAGTGCATATTGTAGGAAAGAGTCTGGACTTTACAGAAGATCTGTTATTCGTGTCTGCCATGAGTGTTGGGAAGGGGTGAGGCTGTTATCTTATAGGCATTTGCTAGCCTGGTTCAAAACTTTACAGATTTATTATAGAACTGGTCTACAAGTCTTTAATAGAAGGGTTATGAAGGGAAGAAGGGACATAGGGAGGGGGAATTAAAATTTATCTGTAACTGCACACAAATTAAGGGGCTTCCTTTACCTGTTTTCATTCTGACATTCTGAACCCATGTAAGGAAACAAAATGCAGACCAATTTAAAAAGCAGCTCTCCTGGTTGATATGTCAGCTGTGCAGAGACTGGTTGATCCAAGAAATCTGATGTATTAAATTTGCTCTTGTATTGTTTCTTTTTGCCATTGTTTTTTCTCTTTTTACATTGGAAAAGGCTTTTCTCCAGCTAATTCTCCCTGACTTTAAAAAAAAAAAAATTACTTTCTCTTGCTTTGATTCCTTTTTTCTTCAATCATAGGTAAAAATAGTAAGAGCTTTTCAATGTGGCTGTTTCTATAAAGTTAAAACAATAATTGTTTATTTTTGCCCACTAATTCAATGTGATGTATAGTTCTGTTGTATTAAATTGATACCTGTTTTTGTAATTGTCATTTCCCCAGATGATCATACTGTGAAAAATGTTTTAGATAAACTTATAGAATGAAAAATCTGTAAATGGTAGTGATTGGGCTAGATTTCAGATTACTGGTGTAGAAGCAGTGTTAAAGCCTGCAATTGGTTCCCTAGTTATCTTGGGCAGTGCCCTAATTATACCTCTCGGTAGAAGATATTGCTACTCTTCTAAAATCGTTTTTGTATGTCTTATCTCTTACTGAATTATTCATGTACCTTTGGGAGTCTCTAAATTTCTCCATTAATCAGGATTTCAAGAACATTGTGATAACAGTTAAATACAGTATTGATGTTAATAAGTTTTCCTCAGGAATTCCTGTCACTATTTTTGTTTTGTTTTAAGCATTTATAACATTTAAGGCTCATATATGATTATTATGTTAAAAATGAGTATGTGAAAAAATAATGGATTCCTTCCGAGGAACAAGATATCTTAGAGATATTTTATAAGTTGTATGTCAAAAAGTCTAGACTAAAAGAATTGGGTGACTTTTGAGTTTCCTGAAAGAAAAGTTATAGTATCTCATATATAATTTTGGAAATTCTGGAACTTAAAAAATTAGTAAAAATTGATTTGATAAGCCAATTGGCAAATAGTATAGCTTTTATGTTGTACTTAATAAAAATTAAGCAGAAGGCTTTATGAGTAATGAGTATATCATTTTAACTACTTAATATCCTTTCCCATTTAAGTAGACATAGAAGAAGTTGTCTAGTTAAATTTACATTCTTTAAGAAAAAAATGCTTGAGGTATATTTCTTTGATTTGCTAAAACTCTTCCTTAATTTTTTGCTGTGCTTCATTAATTGAATGAATAAATGATCCTATAACTGAGTATAATTCAGTCAGTTATGTGAAGGTGTAGTGATTATTCTTTGATTAGGACTAAAATCTATAATAGAGGAAATATTTTTTAATTTTTTATATGAATATATTATTTTGTGATATAATTATTTCTATCAGAATGAGATTTTTTTTCTTTTTTACTAAATTAGTTACTAGGCTTTTATAGCTAGAATTCAGCTGGTTCAGCTACTTCACCTTACAGGTGATGATATTGAGAAGCAAAGTATGGAGAAATGAGTTATCCAAGGTGACACCTTTGGTCAAAATAAAACCCAGACATCATTCTTGGTCTTGGTCCAGTGCTTTGCACCCTGTAATCCATGTTATTCTCTCAAAATCAATCTAGATGCTATTTAAAAGAAAGGGAAGAGGGAGAATGCCACAGGAAAAGGGCCTACATGCCCTTTCAGTGAACCTGTTAAGTTTAGGAGTTCATTTAGTCTCCAGCATCTGTTTTTCAGACCAAATGCTTCTGTGGTGGGGATGATCATGCTAATAAAAGTAATTTTTGTTTTTTAGGTGAGAGTTACGTGTGTGCATCCAATGAACCATTTCGTAAAGTTGATTACACTAAAAATATTAATCCAAACTGGTCTGTGAACATCAAGGGGACAGCAAGAGCCTTGGCCACTGCCTCCTCTGTGAAAAGTGAAGTAAAAGAAAGTAAAGATTTCATCAAACCAAAATTAGTGACTGTGATTCGAAGTGGAGTGAAGCCTAGAAAAGCTGTGCGGATCCTTCTGAATAAAAAGACTGCGCATTCCTTTGAACAGGTCTTAACAGATATCACTGAAGCCATTAAACTAGACTCAGGAGTGGTTAAGAGGCTCTGCACCCTGGACGGAAAGCAGGTAAGATGCTTCTAGCCCCCAGCTCTTCATCTTACTTCTAAATGCACTATACCATGGTGGTTACATATGCAACAATAGAAATGTAGTAGTCCAGTAGACATTCTAGTAGTCCTAGCTGAGAAGTACGTGTGTATATTAGCCTTTATTGTGAAAAATAAAAGCGATTAACATTTTCCCAAATATCTCAAAAGTGGATGTAGAGAGAAGCCTATCATGTAGAGAGAAACCTTTTGGTTTATTGGAATGGAGAATGTCAATTTCTGAGGGAAAAGTATAAGTTGAGGAAGCGCATCCTACATCAAGTGGGATGTTGTCTATTTAAGAATAAGAACTGCTGATTAGTAAAGTCATTATGGGCTTTTGTATCACTGGAGGCAAAACTAATGGTATTTAACATTTTTAAAAAAGTTTTCTTTACCACTTATATATAATATGAAAAATTCATTTCAAAAGGAAATAGTTTTAGTAGGAATGTTCATATAAGTTTCATAGGAAACAATGGATGTAATTAGTCAGCATTTTTGAAAAATAAACACCAATTGTCAAGGAAAATGCAAGTTAAATTGTGGTAACAGGACTAGTGGCTTAGCTCAGTTGGTTAGAGTGCAGTGTTACAACACCAAGGTCAAGGGTTCAGATCCACGTACCAGCCAGCTGCCAAAAACAAGCAAACAAAAAAGTTGTGGTAACAATATATCAGGGAATCTAATGAACCAAACAAAATTGGGCAAATTGCAAAAACATGAATGGCAGTTATATAACCATTGACTTTCACCACAATCAGATTATCATTCCTAAAAAGAAACATGTGACTTCTAAAGTGTATTTTCCCTCAATTTCCATAAAGTTAAGTTGTTTATATTTATGTTGTATTAAGGATTATAGTTTAAAATATTAAATTTGCTTCTTCATTCCATTTTGTTTTTCTCCTCTAACATAATTTATTTTGAAGAGTTTGGCTCTTGTAGTACTAAGAATAAATAATATAAAACACTGGAGCTATGTCTTTTGGAAAAACACAATTAAAGTAGTTTCTAGGGCCGGCCCGGTGGCGCACTGGATAATGCGCCGCTTGGGAAGCGCGGCGGCGCTCCCGTCCGAGGGTTCGGATCCCACATACAGACCGGCTCCCGCTCACTGGCTGAGCGAGGCGCGGGAGCAACGCCGAGGCTTGCAATCCCGTTGCCGGTCCCCGGTCCGGTACGGGGGCAACACTGAGGGTTGCGATCCGTTGCCGGACACAAAAGACAAAAAGACAAAAAGACAAAAAAAAAAAAAAAAGTAGTTTCTAATTTTTCAAGACCAGATCTAGTTACTAGGGTGTTTTATGAAACATTAACAAAATTTTAAAAATATGTTCTAAAGATTCCAGTAGGTTATGTGAGATTAGAATAACTTTTCTAATTGATCAATGATTAGAAGATGTATACTTCATAGCAGCCTGACCCAAAATAGGTTCATAGTATGAATGAAAATGGACACTGTACAATTGAGTTAATAAGACAGTATAACACAAAACACCTTAAGAGTCTCTCTGTAAGTAAGTGAAAATAAATTAGACCCACAGGAAAAAAAGATTTGATGCCCGGTGGCGCACTGCTACAGTGCGCTGCTTGGGAAGCGCGGCGGCGCTCCCGCCGAGGGTTCGGATCCCACATATGGACCGGCCGCTCACTGGCTGAGCGAGGTGTGGGAGCAACACCGAGGGTTGCGATCCCATTGCCGGTCACGAAAAAAGACAAAAAGACAAAAAA